GAGTGACAGGAAAGCTTCCACCATCCTGGGTAAATTATAGCTCTCCCCAGCCCCCTGCCACCACTCCAGTATCTCCTCCAGGCAGTTTCACACCCCAGCTAGGAGCCCCTTCCATCCAGCTGTGGGGTCACAGCCTGGCCCCGGGGGTATCCAGCCTGGGGGGAGGACAAGTTACCTGCTCGGGGTGGGGGTGTTGTCGTCCTGGGTGTAGCTGCAGAGGAGGAAAAGGAGAGCTGGGCTTAGACACTGGGTGTGTGGGTATCAGGAAACCTCCTCCCCAACACACCGTGTGTGTGTGTGTGTGTGTGTGTGTGTGTGTGTGTGTGTGTGTGTGTCTAGATGTCCCTGACACATCCAACCCAAATTGCCCCTCCTGTAGTGCCAGAAAGGGAGGCCGGGGCAGAGCCCAGCACCTCTGCTCTGGGAAGCAGGCAGGATGGCAGAGGCAGCCCAGGGGATAGCCCTGGGGCTGCAGAGCCCCACGGGCAGTGGCCAGAGCACGGCCAGTTACACTGAGGCTGCTCCCTGCCTGGCACCGGGCTCCTGCACTCCACAGGAACGTTCTTTCTCTCGGGAGGTCGGGGTCCATGCCAGGACTGTGTGGACAAAAGGCCTTCCCTAGCTCCCTGCCAATACCCGAGCAAGGGCTCCCAGCCCTGCCACTCACCTGAGCAGCGCACGGCAGCATCTTCCTTGTGCCGGCAAGCCCCGCTGTCCCCGGGCCGGGCCCAGCAGTCCTGTAGGGATGGCTCCGTCCCCCGGCACTCCACCTGCTCCAGCCAGATGGGGCCCGTCCCCATCCCAAATGCAGCCTCATGCAGGGCAGACACCACAGGACCACAGCCCAGCTGCCTGCACGCCACCTCGGCATCCTGCATGTCCCACGAGTCGTCGCACACCGTCCCCCAGGAGCCACGGTGCCAGACCTCCACTCTGCCCGAGCACCCGTCCTTGCCCCCACGGCACGAATCTTCTCCCTGGCTGGAGAAGAGTAAGACCTCCCATGGCACCGGGAGAGCAGGCAGAGCCCTGCCAGACACAGAGGGGAGCTCCCTACCTGTGCAGCTCGTGGAGTTGGGGCACGGCGCCAGCGAGGTTGGAGGCATTTCTGTCTGTCCCCCTGAAGAAGGAAACACTGTGGTGAAGGGGCTGGTTTGGGGGATCATGCAGAAGAGAGCGGGGCTGAGCTCTGCTCGGGCGTCCCTGCACCATCTGGGGCACGGCAGCAACTGAACCCCAGTCATCCATGGGACACGTGCAGGACTGTGGGGGGACCCTGATTGCTCAGCCCCAGAAGGTCCCTGGCTCACAGAGCAGCAGTAGCTTGTCTATGGAGGGGAGGCTCTTCTGAAGCCTGTCGGGTCTCTTCTGAGACCTCACCTGGAGATGCCTCTGCTTCCCCAGGCACTGGTGGCAACCTGGGTGGCAACTGCTGCTGGATGTGTGTGGCCGCGGTCACGTTTGTGCCACTGGCAGCGGAAGGGTCTGGCATGGAAAGTAAAAGCCTCTCCAAGCTCTTTCTTTGTGTTTGGCCATGCCCCGTGGGGAGCAGGATCTGGGGTGACACTGGTGCATGGGTGCCTCAGAGTTACCATTGCAGGTGATGTGGATCTCCTCTTCCAGGTATTCACATGACTGTGGATTCCAGGGCGTGGAGGGACACTGCCAGAAAGAGCTGTTTGTCTCCCCACACTGCACGCGATCCAGCCAGGCAGGGCCAGACACCCTGCCAGAGGGCAGGCGTGTTTCCAGGGATCCTCCATCCCCGCAGCCCAGCTCCTTGCACGCCAGTGTCACCGTGTTGTCAGTGATGGAGTTAGAGCAAATGCTCCCCCATGTCCCGTTGTAGAAAACCTGCAGGCGCCCGGAGCAGCCGTCGCTGTTCTCCAGCCTCAGGGCCACGAACTCTGGGAAGAAAAGGCCCCAAAGCGGGAACAGGCTGATCTGGGGCTGTGGGAGCCAGGACACCTCTGCACCCCCCCAGGCCCTCAGCCGGGCAGGGGCAAGGCCACCACATCCCCCTTGCACCCAGGGGCAGAGAGAAGTCCCGGATTTACAGCCAACCCTGCCCTTCCCGCGAACCCTTGGGGACAGCTGAGCTCCCCAGGGACCCCCCGTGGGACTGAGGGTGTCCGTGCATGGGTGGGCCTTGGGCAGGAGCTCAGAGGCAGCCAGGGGCAGCCTTGGCCATGGCCGGCTCTCCCCGCGTCCTGCCCTCCCCGGGACCAGGCTCCCACCACAGCTCCTGAGGTGGCACAGACCTGAGCAGACGACTCCCGCATCCTCTTTGTGCCCGCAGTCGTGCTGCCCCCAGGGCCCAGCCGGGCAGTCCCAGAGAGCAGCTTCGGCCCCGGAGCAGTTCACACCATCCAGCCAGATCTGCCCGGAGCCTTCCCCGAAGCGAGCGGAGCCGGCTGCCTCCACTGCCTCTCCGCAGCCCAGCTGGTGGCAAACGACGGCGGCATCAGACAGGTCCCAGCCGTCGTCGCAGACAGTCCCCCAGATGCCCTGGGAGTAGATCTCCACTCTCCCCGCGCAGCGCCCGGCCCCGTTCACCAGCCGGACCCGCCGGCTCCCTGCAGCGGGTGGAAACCCCAGTCGCTGTCAGGGCCTGCCCGCCTGCACAGACCGTCACCTGGGCGCCTGGGCAGTGCCACTCACCCCAGCAAATGACTCCCACGTCCTCCGCAAGCCCTGCCGCCAGCGCACTGCCGGGCAGGGAGGTGTTGCAGAGGGTCAGCTTGGCCTCGTGCCCTGCGCACCAGACCCCTCGCAGCCCCACGGGGCCCGTCCCTCGCTCAGGCTTTGGGGGGTTGTAGGCTGTCCCTGCCTCTCCGCACTGCAGCTGCCGGCACACCACGCTGGCCTCCTGCACGTCCCACTGCTCATCCAGGACTCTGCCCCACGCCCCATCCTGGAAGATCTCCACTCGTCCGTTGCACCGGCTCCCTCCGCCCACCAGCCGCAGGGATCCAAAGCCAGCTGGGCCTGGGGACAGCAGAGATGCCACTGCCATCGGCGGCACCGGGAGCATGGCACCCTGCAGGGAGCAGGGCAAGGGGGGATTTTCAACCAAACGGGACAAGGTGGAGCCTTGTGCTGACGAGAAGTGAGGGCAAAGCCTGGGCCCTCTCTGCAGCTCACAGCCAGGTCAGCTGCTGCTGGGGGCACCAGCTCCTGCCTGGGTGGGGGGATGAGGCTCTGCAGGGCTCTCTGTGGGGACGGATGCGGTCGGCTGCAGCCAGAGGGATGGAGCAGAGCCCTGCAGCCCTGTCCTGGGCTCGCTGCACAGTACGAGGAGAGAGGAGCCCGGGCCTGGCGGTGGTGCTGGGGCCTAAGCCACTGCCCTGGGGGCAGATGCCTGCCTCCGTTCAGTCCTCAGCTCTCCCAAAGTCGAGCGGTCAGTCTGAGCAGGGAAAGCCCTCCAGACAGTTCCTGGGGAAGCCAGGGTTTCCCCAAGGAGAAATTCAGCCTGATACGGCCATGGAACCCCTACTTTTAGTGGCTATGTTGCACACAAGTGACAAATGGAGTTTATGCAGCATTTTTCCAGCACTAACCTGAGCAAAGGACAGCAGCAGCGTTCCCTTGGGAGCACGGCGAGGTGCCCAAGGTGGTCACTGGGCACTGCTGCAGGAGAGCTTCAGTCCCGTCACAGTGGAATGAGTCTCTCCAGACAGGGCCAGTCTCTCTCCCAAAATATTCTCCTCCAGGAATGGACTCAGCAAACCCGCAGTTGAGTTGATGACAGAGAACGTGGGCATCCGAGAGGTCCCAGCGGGAGGCACAGAGGGTCCCCCAGGTTCCCAGCACCTGGACCTCAACCCTCCCCGCACACACTGTGCTGCCGTTCACCAGTCTGATCCCTGTGTACTCTGGGGACAGATGTGGAGAAAAGAGAGTGGATTGGTGCTCCTGTACCCTCAGTAGCTGGTGGAGGGGCCAGAGGGACCACATGTCTTTGTTCTCCTTCTGCAATATTGTCATGCTGCAAACAAACCCATCAACCCCTCCTGTCCTCACACCTGGCCCAGCACAGTCCCTGCTCTGTTCCCCAACCCCTACCACAGCCCCGGTGTTCAACAGCCCACCCTGAGTCCTTACCTGTGCAGTTCACAACAGCGCTGTTTGCGTGGGTGCAGGGCTTGTCCCGGGGGGGCCCTCTGGGGCAGGAGGTGAGGAGGGATTCATTCCCCACACACCGCAGCTCTCCATCCCACATGGGACCCACCCCTTCTCCAACGTGACTTCCTCCAGCGACAGGCAGGGCTACGCCGCACTGCAACTCCCTGCAGAGCACGTCAGCAGCCTTGGGACCAAAGTGGGAATCACAGACACTTTTCCACAGGTCCCCGTCACGGATCTCCACACGTCCTGAGCAGCGGTTCTTCCCTTCCACCAGACGGAAAAATCCTGGAAATAAATCAACTGGGAGTTCCCAGAGCCTTGTGGCATTCCCATGCCCACATCCCAGACCATCTCCACGCAAACTGTGACAAAAATCGCTCACTGCACATCTCAGAAGAAGCTATTTAAGGAGTGATGGTGTCACAAAGGCATCCATGTCAAGTTACACACTTTCTCTCCACCATCACAGCAATCAGGGGTGTGTGTCTATTGCAGACCCACAGCAGAGTCTGCAAACCACGTTGGCACCGTTGGGACCAAAGTGTGAGTCACACACCGCTGTCCAAAGATCCTCATCATGGATCACTATACGTCCTCAGGAGGACCGGTGCCCTTAGAGCAGCCGGACAGATTCTGGACCAACCAATGACCCCTGAGACTTCCCACAGCCATCTGGCAATACCCTGACTACATGCCAGCTGATCTCCAAGGTGGCCACAGGCAAAAAAAACCCTACGACATCCCCAGCTGCTCTCAGGGGGTGCTGGTGGCACAAACACATCAGCCAAGGGACCTGTGTCTGCTAAGGGGGACAACCGCAAAGTAGCTCCCCGTCTCACGCCCTTCCACAGGACGGTGGGTGGCCACAGGAGTCACTTCTGGTGCCTCTGGCATGGGGACAGCTGGCCCTGAGCACTGCCAGACAGCTCCTGGGTGAACAGGAGGAGAAAGATGGCAATCAACAGACCATGCAGGGCAGGGATGGAGGGTTCATCTGCACCAGCTCAGGGACCAGGCACAGTAAGGCACCCTTGGGCAGGTTCCCACTGGCTTTCCCCAGGCACTGGGGACAACAGTAATGACAGTTCCAGCTCAGCAGTGTGACTGGCCACACTGGGCAATGCTCCGGTGCCTGACTTTTGCTCCCTGAGGGCACAGCCAGGTTCTTCCACAATCCCAGCCCCAGAGGTATGGAATAGGTTGTCCCCTTACCTGAACACACCACTCCAGCATCATGGAAATGACCACAGTCATGTTCACCCCATCCTCCATGTGTGCAGTCAGACAGGGCAGATTCGGTGCCATTACAGCCAACATCATCCATCCAAATGGGGCCAGATCCTGGCCCAAAGTGTCCGTATTGAGGAGCTTCAACAGCAGACCCACAGCCCAGCTGTTTACAAACCACTGCTGCATTCTTCATGCTCCAGTAGTGACCACACACAGTCCCCCACTTGCCCTGTTGTTTCACCTCCACTCTCCCAGCACAGCGCCTGCCGCCGTCTGCCAGCCTCACCTCCACAGCACCTTCAAACACTGACACAGGACCAGTAAGGACAGCGCTCAGCCCCAGCACTGCGGGTCTGGGGAAGCCCTGTGCAGGTGGAGTCAGAGGCACCAGGGTGGGAGCCCACTCCCCTCCAGGCTGTCCCCAGGGCAGTTCAGGAGTCCCTTCTCTCCTCATGGGCTGTGCAAGACTGGGGGTGCCCAGCTCCAGCCCTGCTGGGTCATTTGTGGCACCACACACTCTGACACTTCCATCCACTCCAACAGCCCCTCGCCCCTGACCTGTGCCCACCCAGGGCTCCTGCTCCTCCCCAGACAGCACCCTGAAAAGGGACCTGTCCCCACCAGGGCTCCCCCAGGATCACACGGCTACTCCTCCCCAGAGCCCCCAGCTCCCCTGGACCACAGCCTGCCCTGGGCCCCTCCCAACTCACCCTCCTCCCTCAGGACTTTCCGTGTCCCCTGTGGAGCAGAATGATGGTCCCAGTGAGGCCTCCCAACCCATGCTCCCTCCTTGTCCTTGGGCATCAGCCCAGACCTGACCTTGTCTGGGATCCCCGCAGGAAGCTTACCCCTTTGCGAGCCTCTGGGAACAGATACCCCAGTTCCCTTGTCTCCACAAGCACAACCCACCCCCGGTCAGGCCGGGGATCACCCTGACTCCGGGACAAGAGTGAAGAGCCCACACCCCTTCCTGGGTACCCCGGAGGCTGGCTGTTCCTCTGGGATGACAGAACAAAGAGCCACCAGTTAAGGCACCACCAGCTCACAGGGAACAGAGCTGGCAGAGCCAGGGCCCCAGGGATGGTGCCCAAGGATGGCAAATCCACACCCGGGTACCAACGGCCAGAAACGTGGGAGCCCTGGAAGCAGAAAAGCCCTTCTGCCACGCAGAGAAGCACAGGCTCAGTGAACCTGTTCACTTTCTACCCCTTGTCACATAGACACACGGGAAGAAGCCCCATTTCCAGAGGGATCCCTGTGCTGCTCCTTGGCCCCAGGGCTTTGTGGCAGGGTAGCAGGCGTTTCCCCCTGCACAACTGCACCCAGAGGAGCAGCTACAGTAACTAAGGGGACAGAGGGACTCTGTCCCCATTAAGAACCTTTCGGCAGCCGTGCACCAAATGCAGGAGGATGGAACAGAAGCGAGACATTGGCTTCTGCATCTTTTCCTGCGTAACTGCAGACTGCAGGAGACAACATCACCCCTCCTGTTCTCAGGCCAAGGCCAGCACAGTCCCTGCCCTCCTCCCCTGCCCCCGGCACAGCCCCGGTGTTCAACAGCCCACCCTGAGTCCTTACCTCTGCAGTTCACAGCAGCGCTGTTTGCTTGGGTGCAGGGCTGGTCCCGGGGGGACCCCCTGGGGCAGGAGGCGAGGAGGGATTCATTCCCCACACACCGCAGCTCTCCATCCCACATGGGACCCACCCCTTCTCCAACGTGACTTCCTCCAGCGACAGGCAGGGCTGCGCCGCACTGCAACTCCCTGCAGAGCACGTCAGCAGCCTTGGGACCAAAGTGGGAATCACAGACACTTTTCCACAGGTCCCCGTCACGGATCTCCACACGTCCTGAGCAGTGGCTCTTCCCTTCCACTAGCCGGAAAAATTCTGGAAAAAAAATCTAATCAACTGGGAGTTCCCAGAGCCCTCTGGCATTCACATACTCACATCCCACACCACCTCTAAGCAAGATGTGACCAAATCACCCACTGCATATCCCAGTAATAGCTTTAAGTTTCCTTGTAATATTTCTTTGAAAGGACAGATTGCGTAGAAGGTAGGTCCTTGAAAGGAGCTGTTATTGTTAACAATAGGCCTATGAAGATAGTAGTTGCTTAATTGCATATATTTTGAGGATAGTGGTTGCTTAATTGGATAGCCTTGCACTTATCTACTGACCATCCAAGGTCAGCTTTGATTAAGTAGGATACGTGGTGAATGCCCAAAGATAATAACAAGAAGAAGAGTTACAAAAAGACAAGAATGGCCTGGTTTTGTCATGTGTGAACTTAATGAAAACAAAGATGAGTATCAATATAGACAATTTTAAGAAAAGGACAAGGTAAAGAAAATGAGCAAGGAGGAAGTAACAGCCACCGACATACTGAAACGACCACAAGGATGCACTACCACGCCTGTGTAAAGGACATTATAATATTAAAAGGAGAACCAGGGAAGGCTTATACTTATGTATATACTCACCATAAAGATAATGAATATGTATGACCTTTTCCTATATTAACAGGATACTAACAAGTTCAGGGGGTCGGTGCTAGGTGGAATTATGCCTCACTGGCCTGGCACCAGTAAAGGAATGCTTCTTTCAGAAAAAATAAACCTTGGTCTCTGAGAGTTTCTTTACAGACTGACTTTTACATTAACGACAGAGGAAGCTGTTGGGAAAGTGTTGGTGTCAGAAACACATCCAGGCCAAGTTACACACCTTCTCTCCACCATCACAGAACTCAGGTGTGTGTGTCTATTGCAGACCCACAGCAGACTCTGCAAACCACGTTGACACCGTTGGGACCAAAGTGTGAGTCACACACCGCTGTCCAAAAGGCCTCCTCATGGATCACTATATGTCCTCAGGAGGATCTGTGCCCTTAGAGCAGATGGACAGATTCGGGACCAACCAATGATCCCTGAGAGTTCCCACAGCCCTTTGGCAATACCCTGACTACATGCCAGCTGGTCTCCAAGGTGGCCTCCAGGAAAAATCCCTACGACATCCCCCAGCTACTCTCAGGGGGTGCTGGTGGCACAAACACATCAGCCAAGGGACCTGTGTCTGCTGGGGGGGACAACCTAAAAGTATCTCCCCATCTCACGCCCTTCCCCAGGACGGTGGATGGCCACAGGAGTCACTTCTGGTGCCTCTGGCATGGGGGCAGCTGGCCCGCAGCACCGCCAGACAGCTCCTGGGTGAACAGGAGGAGAAAGATGGGAATCAATAGACAATGCAGGGCAGGGATGGAGGGTTCATCTGTGCCAGCTCAGGGACCAGGCACGGTAAGGCACCCTTGGGCAGGTTCCCACTGGGCTTTCCCCAGGGACTGGGCACTCCAGTAATGACAGTCCCAGCTTGGCAGTGTGACTGGCCACATTGAGCAATGCTCTGGTGCCTGATTTACGTTCCTTTAGGGCACATCCAGGTTCCTTCCACAACCCCAGCCCCAGAGGTATGGAATAGGTTGTCCCCTTACCTGAACACACCACTCCAGCATCAAGGATATGAACACAGTCATGTTCACCCCATCCTCCGTGTGTGCAGTCAGACAGGGCAGATTCGGTGCCATTACAGCCAACATCATCCATCCAAATGGGGCCAGATCCTGGCCCAAACTCTCCGTACTGAGGAGCTTCAACAGCAGACCCACAGTCCAGCTGTTTACAAACCACTGCCGCATTCTTCATGCTCCAGTAGTGACCACACACGGTCCCCCACTTGCCCTGTTGTTTCACCTCCACTCTCCCAGCACAGCGCCTGCCGCCGTCTGCCAGCCTCACCTCCACAGCACCTTCAAACACTGACACAGGACCAGTCAGGACAGTGCTCAGCACCAGCACGCGGGTCTCGGGGAAGCCCTGTGCAGGTGGAGTCCGAGGCACCAGGGTGGGAGCCCACTCCCCTCCAGGCTGTCCCCAGGGCAGTTCAGGGATCCCTTCTATCCTCATGGGCTGTGCAAGGCTAGGGGTGCCCAGCTCTGGCCCTGCTGGGTCATTTGTGGCACCACACACTTTGGCACTTCCACCACAACAACCCCTCGTCCCTATCCTGTGCTCACCCAGGGCACCTGCTCCTCCCCAGACAGCACCCTGAAAAGGGACCTGTCCCCACCAGGGCTCCCCCAGGATCACACGGCTACTCCTCCCCAGAGCCCCCAGCTCCCCTGGACCACAGCCTGCCCTGGGCCCCTCCCAACTCACCCTCCTCCCTCAGGACTTTCCGTGTCCCCTGTGGAGCAACATGATGGTCCCAGTGAGGCCTCCCAAACCATGCCCCCTCCTTGTCCTTGGCATCAGCCCAGACCTGACCTTGTCTGGGATCCCCCCAGGAAGGTCACCCCTTTACGAGCCTCTGGGAACAGATTCCCAGTTCCCTTGTCTCCACAAGCACAACCCACCCCCGGTCAGGCCTGGGATCACTCTGACTCTGGGACAAGAGTGAAGAGCCCACACCCCTTCCCGGGTACCCCGGAGGCTGGCTGTGCCTCTGGGATGACAGAACAAAGAGCCACCAGTTAAGGCACCACCAGCTCACAGGGAACAGAGCTGGCAGATCCAGGGCCCCAGGGACGGTGCCCAAGGATGGCAAATCCATAACCGGGTACCAACGGCCAGAAACATGGGAGCCCTGGAAGCAGAAAAGCCCTTCTGCCACGCAGAGAAGCACAGGCTCAGTGAACCTGTTCACTTTCTACCCCTTGTCACATAGACACATGGGAAGAAGCCGCATTTCCAGAGGGATCCCTGTGCTGCTCCTTGGCCCCAGGGCTTTGTGGCAGGGCAGCAGGCATTTCCCCCTGCACAACTGCACCCAGAGGAGCAGCTACAGTAACTAAGGGGACAGAGGGACTCTGTCCCCATTAAGAACCTTTTGGCATCCGTGCACCAAATGCAGGAGGATGGAACAGAAGCGAGACATTGGCTTCTGCATCTTTTCCTGCGTAACTGCAGACTGCAGGAGACAACATCACCCCTCCTGTTCTCAGGCCAAGGCCAGCACAGTCCCTGCCCTCCTCCCCTGCCCCCGGCACAGCCCCGGTGTTCAACAGCCCACCCTGAGTCCTTACCTGTGCAGTTCACAGCAGCGCTGTTTGCTTGGGTGCAGGGCTGGTCCCGGGGGGACCCCCTGGGGCAGGAGGCGAGGAGGGATTCATTCCCCACACACCGCAGCTCTCCATCCCACATGGGACCCACCCCTTCTCCAACGTGACTTCCTCCAGCGACAGGCAGGGCTGCGCCGCACTGCAACTCCCTGCAGAGCACGTCAGCAGCCTTGGGACCAAGTGGGGATCACAGACACTTTTCCACAGGTCCCCGTCACGGATCTCCACACGTCCTGAGCAGCGGCTCTTCCCTTCCACTAGCCGGAAAAATTCTGGAAAAAAATAAAAAGAAATCAACTGGGAGTTCCCAGAGCCCTGTGGCATTCCAATGTCCACATCCCACCCCACCTCTAAGCAAGCTGTGACCAAAATCACTCACTGCACATCTCAGAAGAAGCTGTTGGAGCATTGTTGGTGTCACAAACACATCCAGGCCCCCCTGCACCCTTTCTCTACACTATCAGAAGATCCAAGGATATGTGTCTGTCACAGCACCAGACACTGCTCAGACAAACTGCTGCTTCACAAGGTGCCCTGTGCTGCCTGGCATGGTCCCCCCAGCACCACAGTGGTGTGCGCAGTTTAGGTCCAAGGCCAAGGGCTGTGTGCCACCCTGCTCCTCTGTCCAGGCACAGCACTTGTGCTCCCTGAAAAGTACTCATGCCTGTGATGGTGAATGACCCACGGGGACCAGCCACCTCATGCTGTTCCTCCAGTGTGTGATGTTCCAAGTAAGACCTGCCCTGCTTTCTCCAGCACAGGGTCCTCAGCACTGTTGTCTGGGAACTGGCAGACTGAGTGGAGTCCAGTGGATACCAGTGGACACACTGGGGCAGGGACAGAGTGTTCATTTTCAGCCTAAGACACTGGCTGAAGAGGGGCTGAGACACTGTGGCAGGGTTAGTTCACCCTGGGGTAGGCTCACTCTGGGCTTTCCCCAGGCACTGGGGTCACCAGCAATGACAGTCCCAGCTCGGCAGTGTGACTGGCCACATTGAGCAGTGCTCCAGTGTCCGCGGCGTTGCTCCCTGAGGGCACAGCCAGATCCTTTTCACTATCCCAGCCCCAGAGGTATGGAATAGGTTGTCCCCTTACCTGAACACACCACTCCAGCATCATAAGAATGAGCACAGTCATGTTCACCCCATCCTCCATGTGTGCAGTCAGACAGGGCAGATTCGGTGCCATTACAGCCAACATCATCCATCCAAATGGGGCCAGATCCTGGCCCAAAGTGTCCGTACTGAGGAGCTCCAACAGCAGACCCACAGCCCAGCTGTTTACAAACCACTGCTGCATCCTTCATGCTCCAGTAGTCACCACACACGGTCCCCCACTCGCCCTGATGTTTCACCTCCACTCTCCCAGCACAGCGCCTGCTGCCGTCCGCCAACCTCACCTCCACAGCACCTTCAAACACCAAGATAGGATGGGTCAGGGGAGCACCGAGCCCCAGACTGTGGGTCTGGGGGAGCCCCCTGCCAGGGTAGAGTCAGAGGCACCAGGGTGGGATCCCACTCCTCTCAAGGCTGTCCCCAGGGCAGTTCAGGAGTCCCTTCTCTCCGCATGGGCTGTGCAAGGCTGAGGGTGCCCATCTCCAGCCCTGCTGGGTCATTCTCCATCCCACCACACAAGGCACCTTTTCCCACCCCAATGGCCACCTGCCTCCTGCCCATGCCCACCCGCACACTGCCCTGCCCTGCACTGGGCACCTACTCCTCCCCAGCACCCCCTGAACAGCCCCGTGTACCCAGGCCTGCAGCTTCCCATACAACTGCCTGCCCCAGCACCAGCCAAACCCACCCCCATGCCCAGGGCTTTCCATGTTCCCACTGCGACGATCCAGAGGATCCCCCCACCCACATCCCCTTCAGATCCCTGGTGTCAGCCCAGTCCCTGCACTGGGCCAGATCCCCCAGGAAGGGTGTGTCTCTGCTGTAGATGCCCTGGTCCCCATCTCTCCGTGGGGTACAAACTGTCTTCATGGGGTCAGGGCTCCCCCGGAACAAGGGGACAGTGAGCAGCACAAAATCCCTTCGGGACCCCCGAGACATTAGCAGTGTCCAGGGGGGGATCTCTGGGTGCTTCCATCACCAGTGAGGCCACCACCGGCTCCAGAGGCACATTACGAGGGGAGAGGGGGTCCCAAAATGTAACCCAGGACAGGGTGTCTGTGAATCCAGCCAGGCACAGGCTGCCCTAGACACTGAAACCCTGCAAAAGGAGATACTGTCTCCCACCCAGATGGGCCCAGGGAAGGGCACAGGGTCCACGGACTTGAGCACGTTGTGTCCATCATCTCTGTAGCACCTGCAAAGAATCCCCGTTCCCAGACAGATCCCGATGACCATGCTGGTACCCGCTATTCCTGGGCTGTGGGACAAGGGAGCCGGCACTTACCCCTGCACAGCTGTACCCAGAGGAGCAGCCCCAGCACCTGAGGGGACAGCAGCCCCTCTGTGCCCATCCGGAGCCTCCTGTCCTGCCAGCACATCCCTGCCGTGCCACACTCCTGTCACAGCTCCTGGGGACTCACGGGGACAATGATGATGGGAGGGCAATATAGATCCAGGCCAGCTACGGGAGGAGCCAATCAAAGCAGCAGCACCTTTTTAGACATTACCAGGAGTTATCTCCCCTCCGACACAGCCCAGCCCTCCAATGAACGTCTCCAGTGCCATTCATGACCATATATGAGGGGTGGCTCTGCTGCAGGTGTCACATCACTGTGGCAGTGTGGCGTCACAGGACAGGGCTGGCTGTAGTGGGGGAAATGGGTTTTTCATGCCTTGAACCCTGCTGTGTGGGCCGGGAGCACTGAGCGTCTCCTATACTGGGCACATCCAAGAGCCCAAGGTGTGAGTGCCCAGACATCCCTATGTCATGGGAAGCACAGGGCTGGGCCTGCACTGGGGCTGTGTCTGGAAGGGAAGGAAAGAGCCCCTGCCCCTGCTTCAGACCCCTCTGTGCTGGGAGCAGCAGCGGGGAAAGGGCCTCAGCCCAGGCCAGAGCCCCATCCCAGGAGCACTGGCTCACCCGTCCCTCCCTGGAGAGCCCCATGGAAGGTCCCTTCAAACGAGCTGGGGCTGGGCCATGTCCCTGTCCTGGCAGCAGACAAGCAGCTCAGATGGATCCCTGACTCTCAGCATGTCACCGAGGGGCCGTTATTCCCCGCGGGGGGCTCGGGAGCTGCAGCCTGCAGGTGCACAAACCACAGCCCACGTGGCCTCACAGAGCTCCTCGCGCTCCCCCCCACAAGCGCCCGGGCAGGAAGTCTGTGGTTTCCTCCTGGAGCTGAGCCCGGGCACATCCCCGCGGTGCCCCCGAGCCACCCCCACCCCGACTGCTCCAGCCAGGGCCGCAGGGGCTGCTCCTTCTGACATAGAAATTCACTCAACACTTAGAATCCAGTAGAACTGCTGAGCAGGTATTCTTTATTAGCAGCGCTGGGCAGCACTGGGGATCGCTCCACCACGAGTGCTCCCACAGACAGGTACAATCACAGAGAATATGTGCTGTGAGCTTGTACATATTCTGTGGATTTCTGAGAACTAATCTACATATACATAAGATTTCCTAGAATTTATCTACATAGTCCGAGCATGTGTGATAAAATTAGGATTAGGGTCTTTTCCCCTCTGGTGG